TAACCAACCAATCAGATGCAGAGTTCAGAACACTGGTGATCAAGATGCTCAAAGAACTCACTGAGTATGGCAACAGCATAAAAAAGACCCAGGCGGAAATGAAAATTACACTAAGTGAAATTTTAAAAATCTACAGGAAACCAACAGTGGACATGATGAAGCCAAGGTTCAAATCAATGATTTGGAACATAAGGAAGAAAAAAGCATTCCACCAAAACAGCAAGAAGAAAAAAGAATTAAAACAAAACAAAACAAAACAAATGAGGATAGTCTAAGGAGCCTCTGAGACATTTTCAAATGTACCAACATTCAAATCATAGGGGTACTGAAGAGAAGAGGAAGAGCAAGAAATCAAAAACTTATTTGAAAAAATAATGAAAGAAAATGCCTCTAATCTGGTGAAGAAAATAGACATACAAGTCCAGGAAGCACAGTGAATCTTGGACCCAAAGAGGACCACACCAATACATATCCGAATTAAAGTGCTAATGGTTAAAGATAAAGTGAGAACCTTAAAAGCAACAAGAGAAAAGCAGAGAATTACCTACAAAGGAGTTCCCATAAGACTGTCAGCTGATTTCTCAAAAGAAATTTTGCAGGCAAGAAGGGACTGGTAAGAAGTATTCGAAGTGATAAAAAGCAAGGACCTGCAACCTAGGTTACTCTATCCAGCAAAGTTATCATTTAGAATAAAGGGCAGATAAAGAGCTTCCCAGACAAGGTAAAGTCAAAGGAGTTCATCATCACCAATCTCTTATTATATGAAATGTTACAGGGACTTATTTCAGAAAAAGAAGATCAAAACTATGAACATTAAAAAGGCAACAAACTCACAGCTATCAACAATCTAAAAAAAAAAAAAACCCCAAAACTAAGCAAACAACTGGAACTGGAACAGAATCATAGATATGGAGATCATTTGGAGGGTTATCAGCTGGGAAGGGGAAGGTGGAGAATAGGAAAAAGGTGCAGAGATTAAGAAACATAATTGGTAGGTACAAGATAGATGGGGAGGTTAAGAATAGTATAAAATGGGGAAGCTAAAGAATTTATATGCACAGCTCATGGATTAAGGGGGGTGGTGGAGGGAGGAGAGCACCAGGCGGAGAGGGCAAAGGGGGGAACTTTGGAACAACTGTAATAACATAATCAATAAAATATACTTAAAAAGACAAGACCCAAGTATGATCTGGTTTTTTATTTTAAAACATGTCTCTGTCTCCCCCATAACTGACCATTCTACCCCACTACTTCTTCAGTGTAAATGTATCTGAAAAGGTACACAATAGGAAAGGGTCTGGTAGTTAGCACTGATTCATTTTCATATAAGAAATTTTGAGTATTTCAGAAATGGTTTATTTTAGCCTATCTGTATTTCCTGATTTTCTTATAATGAACATGAATTGCTTTACAATTTAAAACATCATTTTACAGAAAGCTAGAGATCAATGCAGAAAAGAGTGAGTCAAGGAGACCTGGAGTACATCTCTGTGGTCAACATCATGCGGGACTGTCACCATTTCCCCACAAAATATCCTTTGGTGCCACTGTCAGAATTTCGAGCTAGCTAGATTGCATATTAGCCTGACTCAGCATGACATTTCTTTTTGCTCTCATACTAATGCTTAAAAGCTTGAAACTCTGCACTCTATTCAATCCATTTCATCAAATATTTATTAAGCACCTACTACAGGCCAAGCATGTAGGATGCAAGATTAACAAGACATGGTTCAGCTGTCTTGACATGATTTAAGTCACTAAGTGCACTCACAGAAGTTTGTACTTCTTTGAAAGTTCCAGATGGCTGTTCTGATATTTTTTAGAGAAAACAACAACAGAAACCTAAGCAGTCCTCATACAAAACAGTGGCCAAGACCGTTCATACTAAAAATAATCTATTCATGTTTTCACTTTTGCAGTATTTTAAAATAAATGTACAATTATGCTGAATCATAATAAAAAATACCCACATATTTGTGGCTCTTCACTATGATACCAACACTATTTTCCTTTTGAATCAATGGTCTTTCAACTTTTTTAGTAGAAATTATTTCAATCTGTTTAGTCTTTAAGCCAAATCTCTCAATTTGACTTTGAGATCCTGATTGGAGACTCCAGTTCCCACATGAAGTAAAATTGTTTTTAAAGGCTAAATAAGGCAATATGTTTCAAACTAAAGTTGCTAAGCCCTGGGTAACTAACAATTAAACAATTAAGTTAAAAAAACATTTAAAGTTGGACTTAGTGAATCTAAATAATTTTACTTGTTACATGTATATTAAGACTTTTTTACGAATTAAGTTTATATTTCAATTAGGATATATATATATATTTCTTCATCTTTATTTTCTATTAAATATTATTCCTATATCCAGAAGAGGTTTTTGGTTTTGCTTTGTTTTGCATGAACATTCTCTTATCATAGAGCATACATGAATCAGAGTGTAAAGGAACAGGAAGACAGATCACCTTGTACCACTATTTTGTTTTGTGGAAGAGAAAATGTAAGCCGAAGTAAAGTGACTTGTAGAAGTATAAGTTGCTTTGCATGGAGCCTTATGAAACACAGAACTGGTAACTTTGTTATGAGAAGCTTGTCCCACAGAAACCCAGTCTATTATCCTTACTTGCCCCAGATTATTTTTCCATTCTTTGGACTTGTACTCTGCTCAAGATATTATGCATGTTGACTTTTGCAGAGAATTTAATGGATCAATTTATTCAGTTAAATATTATTGAGCACCTACTAAGTGCCAGATACTGGTCTTGGCATTAATTTAAATGTCCACAGAAATTATTAAATAGTGAATATCATTTCAAATATATACAAATGAGCATTTTGTGGCTAGTCTTAAGGGGTGTGTGTATGCATGTGTGTTGGGGAGGGGGGAGAGGGGGGAGATGTTTGTCTCTCTTCTATCCTGTGTAAAATCTGCTCAATTTTCTATTTTAACTGTTGTTATAATGTCAAACATGTACTATTAAAATAAGCTTTTTTCTGAGAATCATGTCTACACTAAGGCTCCTGGGTTTTATTTTACGATGAAATGCTAATTCCCCTTTTATAAAACAAATTCTTTATTTCATAATTTCAAATGGGATGATACTTTCAAAAGTTCTTCCTCTGATTAGATTTAGGGCATTAAACATTTCAGCACAATAATATTTTTTTCCTGGGCCTCCAGCATTTTCATTTTATTGTTAAGTCAAAAACTTTCAGTTAATTTTAAGACTGCTTTTAGAATGAAATAAAGTAATATATGTAATGCTGGTAGATATGTCAGACTCAGAAATACTGCTTTTCTTATTTAAATGATCTGTCTCCACTGTAAAACTGACAGTCAATTTTTAGTAACTCCTGATTTTTACATATTATTTCTGTTCTTTTTCATTCTTTATACAGCATTTTGGTGTTTTTGCTTGGTCTTCTTTTTATAGCTCTGCCCTAGCTTCTTTTTTCCATTGCTATTTGACTTCATTATTGCTGTCAATGCATTCCTGTCCATGGTTCCCGGTTGCTCTTCCACATCCATTTGCTCTGACTATAAAAATAGGTATCTGTGCTTGGTGGGACATCATAGACTTTGGTTCCTGCTTCATTCGGGGATGGGTGGTCCAAAACAAGAAATACAGGATTTTGGGCCATACATTTAGGATTCTTCTCAAATTTCCCAAAGACCAACACTCTAAACTCCATTTTGAGGCAAACAGCAAAGAAAAAAAAGCGGGTGTGTATGTGTGTGTAGGAAAATTTGGATAGTGTATCCAGCTGTGGACCTAAGGACAAATATTATCCAATATTCTCAAGATAGCATGATCATATTCATAGGTAGTTCCTGAACTTTTATAGGGAGAGAAGGAGAGCTTAAAAATTGCTTGCAGTTACTGGTTATTGAAATGTCTCAACACAAGTTTCCTTGATGCTTACAAAATAACCACAATACACAAAATGAAAAACCAACTGAAGTTTCAAATCCAATTCAGAGTTGTGGTATAAAATAGCACTGTGGATGCTAAAATCAATGTCAGACCAGGCCAGTTCTAAAACTATACTTGTTGCTACTGTACTGACTAGTATTTCAAAACTTTATTAGGTCATGTGTAATGAGAACATACCAGGAAATAGGAACCATAAGAATATGTGATAAAATACAGGAGGAAGGCCACAGCTAAGGGCAACTGGTGATTGGCAGCCTCATTAGCACAACCTCTAGACTCATGCATTGTTATCTAGTGCAGAGTTTTTCAGTGAAACATCAAACTACTCAGGTGACTCAGTCTCCCTTCCGCGCAGATTTGGCACCTTGAGACTTCTGGCTTTTCCCAAAACTAAAATCACCTTTCAAAGGGTAGAGATTTCAGACTGTCAATGAGGTTCAGTAAAATACTACAGGACAGCTGATGGTGATTGGGAGAACTGTGTGAGGTCCCAAGATATGCCTACTTTAAAGGGGACTGGGGTGTCATTGTCCTATCTACAATGTTACTTGTATTTTGTATCTTCTTCAATAAATGTCTCTATTTCATATGACATGGCTGGATGGATACCTTCTGGACAAACCTGTATATTCCTGTGCATACTGAAGATTAGCCAAACAAATAAATGAGTTCATAGGAAGGTATAAAGGTCATTTTAAATCCTGGTTTCAGGTACATCAATTTGTCATAACAGCAGGAGGGCTGAAACAGAAATTTGTAACAATCATAAAAGGAAAAAAATACTGTTTACAATGTTTTTGTCCTAAAGTCAACAGCAGAACACAACCCATCATCTCCCTGAGCCTGCATTCTTACCTTCCCAATAAATGTCGAGTCTATAAGCGAACGAAACGGCCTCCTCCCTTAGAAGCAAGCCCTCTCCAGGAAACCACAGTGTCTTTCCAAACAAGGACGGCGGGTTTCTCTCTACTGTTGCTGCTTTCCCTCTCATCTGGGAATTGGTTTGCCTTTCAAATACCAACCCAGGGAGGGCTGGTGCGTCCCAAATTAGCGAGGTTCTGCCAAATACCAGAGGTTCTTCTTTGGAGGAGGAAGGCTCCTCCTTTGGACATAAGGCGCCCCTACCAGAGCGGGCGCTTGCTGAAACGGAAACCACCGGCTGCGCTGAAGTGAGTCAAGTGATGAAATCAAGACTACATGGGAAGGAAGCTCCTCCAACTGCTCACAAACCTCACTGGTGGCAGAAGCTGCTAAACCCTGCTCAAGGAAACCAAACCAGCCAACAGTGGCTGCCGTCGCGAGGTGGTCCTCAGAAGCACTGGGCCCCTCAGCCTCTGGGCAGCGAACCCTTTCAGTTTGGCGAACCAAAGAGGAAGGAAAGAATTGTGAAGGGGAAATCTAGACCTTCTGCTTTCCCAAGGACCCAAACTGTGCTCTGGTTACGAGGTGACCACTGCCACCAAGTCAGTGCAGGAATCCTCCCTTGTAGACCGGCTGAGGCACGCCTCGCGTGTTGAGTCAGCCTCGCCGACCAAGGGGGAAAAGAACCGCGCGGGGCCGCGCTCCGCCGGGACCGCGCCCCCGCCCCGCGAGGTCCAGGTCCTCACCTGGAGCGCTCAGGTAGGGCTGGGGCGGGGCGGGAGGCTTGCGCGCAGGCGCGGGACAGGGGCCTCGCCCCTGCCGACGTCGCAGACTGGAGCTCACCTGGGAGACTCTGAAGGAAGCCGAGCTTTGGTTCGGCCTCTCCTGGCAACACCGGAGGCCCAGCGGGAAGGCAGGAGGCGGCGGCGGAGGAGGAGCTGGACTGAGAGGCAACTGTAGCGACAGCAACCGGAGCCTCCGCAGCCACCGCCACCACCTGCACCTGGCGCCCGGCCACGTCCAGCGCGCGCCCGGCCACGGCTTCCCGCCGCCCTCCCCTACCCACCCGCCAGGTAAGCCGGGGAACGGGCGCTTGGGCCAGGAGGTCGGGAATCCCCAGGCAGAGCCGGAGTGGGGTGCTGGTAGACGGGTGCGGAGGTTCACGTGGTGGGGAGAGGGGTACGGTCCCGTTGGCCGGTTGGTGATGGTCTCGAGAGCAGCGTTTCAGTTGCCCTCTCGGGAGTGGCCGAAAGGGGCGCCCGAGGCCGGCGGGGGGAGGCGGTTCCCCGAGGGCAGCCCTGTCACCCGCGGTGCCCCCTGTGAGTCTCTGTTGGGAGGCTCCAGAAGAGCTGGACCTCGACCGAAGACCTGGTGGCCCCGAGCTTGTCCCTGTGAGGGTCGCAGTGTGGGGAGTCCGAGGGCTTGCGCCCGGCTCAAGGCGGGAGGGTTTCCACTAGGGCTAACAGGTTGCCAGCCTCCTCCCGGCCCTGTGCCCGAGGGGGCCAAGCCCGGGCGCGGAAGGGCGTGACTTTGCAGGCAACTTTCCCAGCCGGACCCCAGACAGCCCTGAGCTGGAAACCGCGGCCGCCCGAACCATTTAAATCGTTTCCGCGTGGTTTGGAAAGCGCTCTGTGGTCGGGACGCGGACATCCTTCTCTCTGTTTCGTCTCTGCACTTTTCCGGGTGCGCTCCCTAAGCCAGAGCTGCGCCGACTTTCCGGTTTGATTAAGAAAGAGTTATTTTCTTCGTGGCAGGAGGAAACCCAACTGCCGCTAACCAATCGCACACCATCTCGTTCAAGGACCTGTTGACATAAGGACCTGTAGGTCGCAGCTATGGTTTGCCTGTGGCATATGACTCAAAGGTTCAAAAAAACTGTTTCAGTATCCTGCCACGTCTGAACCTGGGTGTGCCAGGCCCAAATTCCGTTCCTTGCTTAATTAGGCTTTTCTCAAGCCTAAGAATTGAGGGCGAAACTGGTGCTTACATTAGACTTCTGTTTCCCTCTCTGTCAAACTCATCAAAGCACTTCCTTCTCTCAAAGCTCATCAAAACACTTCACTTCGAACTCATCAAATAACTATTTCTGTTTTTGGAACCCCCATCTAGTTACCAGTTTTTCTTATGTCTAGGCAATGGTAAGTTACCATAACTTGCTATAGAAGTTATACTACATAATGAAAACATTAAACTCAGATTCTGTTGTTTAAAAAGATCATAAAGTTGCTGTATTTTAATTTGAGAATTTCTAGTTGTGGGGAAATCTGTTGCTGCTTTTAAGGCAAATTTTTCTTTGAGTTTGTGACTAAAATACATGAGGTTTAAGTCATACTCTGCAATTAGATTTCTTTAAATTTAACTTTTAATATCTGAATATAGCACACATATGTATTATTTTAAAGATTCTGTATTGTTTAGTACCAAGCATGTTTCTTTTTATATTGCTTTAACCAGCATTTTTACATAGAAATTTCAAATAATAGATAGCAATTCTACCACCTAGATTTGTTTTAGTTCTATCTTTGCTAATTAAATATGTATATTTTAAATTGCACATTTAACATTAAATGCCTTAGATAGCACATAGCTTTAAAAAGAAAAAAAAACAGTGCAATTAAAAGCTGAAAAGTCACCCACAGCACGAGAGGACATAATTAGATATTTTCAACCAGTGCTTTCTACTTTTCTCAAAAGAGCCTTGCTTGCCTTCTTTCTCTTGTCTTCTGACAGAGAAATAAATATGCTAAATACTGTTTAAAAATTAAAGGTAGGTGTTGCTCCCTGAATTTAGAGTATCATTTTAACCCACATTGATTATTGTGCCAGATATTATTAGAGTATCTTTACTTTTAACTCCAGGGAGAAATGTAACATGTTTGCATTAGCTACAGTAACAGTGTACTTCAGTGAAGCTGTCTGTAAAATTGGAAAAATAGTACTGCTTGAGATTTAGGGAAATGAAGCTAAAACAAATCAGGAATATCCTCTAGACTTAGCATTCTCAGGATCCCCTCTCGTCTGGAAGCGGAGTCAACCTATCCAGTTTGTGAAAAACCAAAGCCAGAGAGGTAGTTTAGTTTCAGTCCCTCATCAAGTTAGTGGTAAGCAGGGCATTATTATTCCAGTGGCTTGACCCAAGGCTCCTGTGATTTTCACTTCTTATCACCCACATTGTCACTTAACACAAGATGTTTATCTTTTTGTGTCTCATATAATTTGTAAGGCCCTTGTAGTGACGGCATAGTCCGTTGTTCTTTGTCCAGCTCTGATTTACTCTAATTTCTACTTGTCCAGGTGATACCTGACTCCAGGGAGGCTGAGCCCATCATTCCTTTCCCTCTTGCTGTGAATCACATGTGTATTGAAGATGCCATGTGAATTAAGATTTTAAATCCTTTCTTAGTATTTCAGAGCCACGGTTAATTTTTTGGGTCAACATGGACAACAATTTAGTCATCTGATCTTTTATTGTATTGGCTTAAAATATATTTTATGAGGCAGCTACCCAGGGTCTTTCCTCCATTTGCAACAGCTAGATTTTTGGTTGGCAAGCCTATTTCATCAACACCAGGGGTTTTTTTTAAGCCTTTTTTGGACTGTGATTCTTAGTAAGAAATGCATTCTGTGCCTCAATCTAGTTTGTGTATATATAAATGAAACACAATTCACAAAATTATATTTAACCTTACAACATGAATGTTCACTTATTTCATTTAAAAAATATTGGTCTCAACATACTGGATTGATTTTATGGCCACACATGGGCTGGAACTGATGATGAAAATGATGATATCCTATTGAATTTACATTTTTTAAGGCTGGTTTTTCTACCACCTTACTGATTCTGTCTCTCTGACTTTTTCCTCTCTCCCCTTCCCCCACCACACACTTGCAAGAAAAAAACAAAATGAAACTGTACTTTTTAATATAGAAAATTGTATGGTAATCCTTATTAAACATTCATTGGAAGGTTTGAGACTAACACCTGGTGCTAGACTAAATCTCCCAAACGTAAGAACTACATAAAACCTCATTGTATGTTATTGTATTTTTAAATGGGTTACTCTGGTGGAATTTGATGGTCGATTATCAAGTGAAAATCTGAGAGAAAAAAAATAGCTGTGTCCAATTGGAGTGTAAATGTTATGGCTGAGTTATAGTACTATGCAGAGTTTGAAAAATAATTATTCGAGTAAACATAGGACAGTTGATTATTTGTTTGGTAGTCTGTTAATATTTTATATGTGTTTCTTTTACTATAAAACAGATATAAGAGACAAACTATAGGGACCATATTCCTTCTCCTCCCCAAACTCCCCTCCCCCAACAACCCCCCCCCCAAAACAAACAAAGAAAAAATGAGAGTGAGAGATTAAATTAGATCCCTCAAAGACCTATAGGGATACAGGCTTGGAAGCTCAGATTAGATGATCAAGCCTTTCATTGAAGCTTTTGATTTTAACCTGCCTTCAAGTTCCTGGTAGAAGGAATAGTTCTTCTAGAGAAATAATTAGTGTATTTAATTGTTTGGAAATGATCAGTGCCCAAATCATCTTCAAACATACTCAGTTGTCTGGTCCATAAAGTACAAATACGCTTTTGATATGACAGGTCTTTTATGGGTATAAACTGAGAAGGAAATATTTTCAACTATTTAATTATGCATCTAGTTCATGTCAGAATAATTACTTTTATATAATTTGGATAATTTTAACACAGTTAATGTACTGCCAATAGCAACATTGAGTTCAAATCAAGGCTGGCCAAGGCAAGAGACCAAAGTGCATTAACCTATGGGGAAATAAAGACAAGTAGGACTCTGAATTCTAGGTCGTTGGTGACTATTGACAATAGATGAAATCTCCTTGAGTCATTCTCTCAGTTGGGCTCCTTAAGTAGAGAGTATGTCCCTCAGTACATATATTATCCTATAATTACTTCAGTTTCAAACTGTTTGAGCTAGTTCACTCATTTATCCCACTGTCTGTAGGACATCTTTAAGATTTCATAATGACCCGAGATTATACATGTGTAAGCCAGAAACTTCATCCCATAAAACAAAAACAAATTTTAAAGCTCACACAAAGACAACCTATTTCACTTCATATGTCTCATTAACTCTTGACTGGGATACCACAACTACTTGCCACCTGGTAACTCAATAGAGGGTGTTGTCATACTCAGATCCATCCTCCACAGAACCTCTGTAAGGTGATGACCTGTTTAAAAATGGAAACTTAAACATCTCTCTCCTCTGCCTAAAATCCTCTAAAACCTTTTGGTAGCTTCCAGGATACAACTCACAGCCCTTAAAATGGTCCCAGGATCTGACCCTTGTTTATTCTGCAAACCAAATTTTATATTCCAGCAACAAATTTCCGTCTTTTTCTGTGTGCTTTTGTTTTGTTACTCCCCATTGCCTAGAGTACCTTCCCTGTTATCTTTACCTCTATAATTTACTGGTTCTTAAGGTTCAACTGAGGTCTTGCCTTATTTAGGAAACTGCACCCCCTACCACCTCCACACACACCTGAGCTGGGTGATATGTCCTGTGGGTACTTCTATAATGTGCTTTACATATGTGTTATCGTATAGTCTGCTTTTGTATGTGTCTGTATACACAGCCACCCACCCACACAGACCCCTCTTTTAGATTATTTGCAAAGTATGTAAAGTTTGTCTTTCCTCTAAGCCAAATTGTAGAGTAAAATGTTGGTGTAAAAGGGGCACAGGAAGAGAGAGGCATTGGGCAAGCAGTGTACTTGCTTTTCAATGACATTACCCACAGAAATTGGGGAGCAGGAACTTGTGCCATGGTACTTAATTAGCCTATTTAATTTAGATTGCTGTTATTTCCATCTCATTCCTTTGAATTTCATGTTATTTTCTTTTTTTGTGCTTTTTGGTTCTGTTCCAAGATCTAGGTTTTACTATTTAGAAACAGAAAGTTAACTTTGTGATTGAAATATTTTGTGGGTTTTGTTTATTAATGTTCTACAATTGAGTGCATTACTGATGGTGTTGGGGAGGAAGCTTTTACTTAAAGAATATAATGTAATTAGTTTTTTAAAAA